CCAATTGCTTTATTGTATGTGATGTTCCCCTACAGGACAATGGCAAGATGTGGGTCATCAGTGGGCACAGAGTACCAGTGACCTGGAGAGGGTGTTTAAACATGATTTAGCTGAGGACAATTAAATTGTGTGACCTTGTTGTTAAACAGCAAGAGGGATGAGATAATGTGGTTTTTATTTGCAATGAAATATCAACTATGCTTGTATGTGCCATTAGCAGCATGGCTTTGTGGTTTCTGTGCTGTTGCTTTGCTTTTGAGCAAGAACATCACATTGCCAACATTTGACTAGGTATACCACAACCTTTTAAAGATGGTGTGGGCACCAGGGATGCAGGTGCTCCAAAAGATATCAGGTGAATGACAAGTTCTTTGGAACACGTGTGCCACGGATACAGGGTAGGTAGTTAAGGCAAAACTCTCACAACAATAATATAGATGTTCTTTCATCAAATTCATCCATGAAGACTTGATACCAAGGAGACACGTATATAAATAAGAAACACAAAACCAGCAATAACCCTGCAATGTGGGGAAATAAAATGACAGTTAATTGAATTTGATTTTATTTCTGCCAGAAGTGGAAATTCATCTAAACTGGAGTGTTTAATTTGTGCACAAATACTGTCCAAAGAATCTTTGACATTCTCCAAGTTACAAAGGCATTGAAGTGCCAAACATTACATCTATAAGGACAAGAATTGTTTGCTTTCTTGTAAGAATAAATTTCATACAATAAAAATATACCAGTGGTGTGCCGCAAGGATCAGTGCTGGGTCCATTGTTTTTCATCATTTATATAAAAGATTTTGATGGGAAGGCTAGTAAGTTTGCGGATGATAGCAAAATTGGTGGTATAGTGGATAGTGAAGGAGGTTATCCAGGATTACAATGGCATCTTGATCAACTGGGTCAGTGGGCCGAGGAATGGAGGATGGAGTTTAATTTAGGTAAATGTGAGGGGTTGCATTTTGGTGAGACAAACCAGGGGCAGGACTTCCACAGTTAATGGTAGACCCTGGAGAGTGTTGTCTAACAGGGAGAGACCTGGGGGTTCAGGTACATACTTCCTTGAAAGTGGCGACACAGGTAGACAGGGTGGTGAAGAGGTGTTTGGCACGTTAGCCTTCATCGATCAGAGCATTGAGTACAGGATTTGTGACATCATGTTACAGCTGTACAAGACATTAATAAGGCCACTTTTGGAGGACTGCATACAATTCTGGTCACCTTGCCAAAGGAAGGATGTTATTAAACTGGGAAGAATGTATAAAAGATTTACAAGGATGTTACCGAAACTGGAGTGTTTGAGTTATAAGGAAAGGTTGGGTCGGCTGTGAATGTTTTCCCTGGACCATAGGAGGCTGAAGAGTGACCCTATAGAGATTTATAAAATCATGAGAGGCATAGATAAGGTGAATTTCCAAGGTCTTTTCCCCAGGGTAGGGGAGTCCAAAACTAGACGGCATAGGTTTAAGGTGAGAGGGGAAAGATTTAAAAGGAACCTGAAGGGCAACTTTTTCAAACACCAGGGTGGTGCATAGATGGAATGAGCTGCCAGAGGAAGTGGTACAGGTGGGTACAATTACAACATTTTAAAAGACACTTGGACAGGTACATGAATAGGAAAGGCTTAGAAGGATATGGACCAAACACAGGCAGCTGGGACTAGTTCAGTTTAGGAAACCCGGTCAGCATGGATGAGTTGGGTCAAAGGGCCTGTTTCTCTGCTTTTTGATTCTATGACTCTGACTTTTGCTGGGTCGCACAGTCCATGGAATATTAATAGCACATGAGGCATGTTCTTAGGAGGTTAAGAATCTCACTACTCTGTTTATTCTTCCTCTGCTTAAAATATTTACTCAATTTTCTTGTAAAGAAAGCAATAGTCTCTGACTTGGCCAATTCTATAGCAAAATATTCCAAGCTGTAACAACCCATTCCTAATTTGACACCTCACTATACAAGGCTTGACACCCACCCTTGAATTGGATAAAACCCTTAAGGTGGTAATTTATGATCACTAAAGGGCATCATTCCACCACCACTGATACTTTACCTATAGTGAGGAGAAGACCAGACCATTCAAGTAGCCCCACAGCTTTAGTTGATTGCAGCCAAATGGAAGGGTGAGGGGTTCCTCTGTACACAACAGAGGCAACATACCTATCCCCACCAACCAATGGACCCTCCTGTCTCCTTGAACCCAGCCCCTCCCCCCTCACTAAAAACCCCGACCTCAGGCTCCTCAGTGTGTGGGGATTACTTGCAGCTAAGGCACTGGTCACCACTCCCAGCTGGCATTGCTGGGAGTACAGAGTTCTGGGTATCCAATTGACCAGCAGCTCTCTAAAGTGGAATTTGCTCCTGAGAAGAAGATAGGAGCCACGCCCTAAAGCATTTAATGCTCCTCCCTGCGTTAATTTTCTGCACGATAATTGTTGGAATTGTAGGCAAACTCCCCTATCCCCACTTATTAGCTGGGGTGAGAAAGGAGTCTCTGGTGTCCTGTAAAATCCAGCTGAATATTTTATGCTGCCTCAACTTTAAATACTTCTTCTTTAAACAGTTTACTCAATATTTTACTCAGATTTGCCATTACCTCTTAGATTCTATTTTCCAATTTCTGGCTTTATTTATTTGCATGTGCATTTTCAGGGAATTATGTATCTGAACCTTAGTGTATATCCTATGCCTTGTTAATCTCCCAAAATGTATTACTGAATCTTAATTCACATTACCACTTGCTGACCTATACTGCCAGCCTGTCTCTTCCTGAAAGCTCTTCTCTTCTTTGCCAAATTTAATAATTTTGGAAGTGATGCCAACCACCCCAGCAAACCGAGGCATATAAATAACAAGCGGGTCAGAGCACCAATGCTTCACCAGAGGCGCACTGACGGTGTTACCTAGCAGCGTGACGAAACGTCTGCAATCAAAGACATCGGCTTGGCAAGCAAGTCTACAACCTCATCCACAACCCGAGCTACAAATCTTCTTAAAAACTAGGTTGAAATACCAACAATATTTAAGCTATCTTAATATTTGGAGATGCAGTAGCCCTCCCCCTGCATCTTTAGTCCAATGGAGGGGCCTTCTCGAAGCTACACCACTGACAATGATCAAAAACACTAATCCCTCCTCCTCTCCCTCCCCCTCATTTGCTGAGGCCTTCCGGTGACCCTGGTAATCCCAACACACTCATCCACAGTCTATGTTCCAGTTATAATCTCCAGCCTAGGCCTAATGTGGTACTGGCAGTGTCTACAGCTTGTGGTATCTCCTGATACTGGACAGCTTTCGGTCTCTGGTTGGACAGGAGCTTTTGGAGTGGTGGAGCTGTTAGAAATAATCCCAATGGGGTTCCAGGAAATGTTTGTGGTGGGAAAGCCTCCTGCACTGTATTTTGGGACTGGCCCATCACTGGATTAGGAGGTTCAGAGGGATTGTGAATTACCATATAATTCAGAAGAAATATGTGGGTTGGTGACCATGTTGCCTTCCTTACTGCCCCCAATTAAATCCAGCGTGGGAAAGGTCAAGGATGGCCTTCTCACCTAGACGCTAAATGATGCTCCTCTGCATTTAAAGGCCTCATCCTTCAGTCGGTGTTCACTAGATACATGTGGACAACATGTTGGCAAACACTGAAGGCTATTTCTGAAGCCTGGTACGACAGATCCCACCAACCTGGTTAGCATGTGCCCACTAGCGGGACCCACTGGTTGGCAAGCGATGGCCTCATGGAGGACCTCGCCTGTCCTTATTTTGACACTTCTCCCCACCAACACTGAGTTTCCCTGACTGGACCCAGAAATCCACTTGGCTCATCTTTCTTCCAAGTCTCCAGTAATGATCCTCGGCCAGGCTCTATCGGAGTTCTTGTAGCCCTCTAACCCTAACACAGCCACAATGCCAGTGATGATGCTGGAGAGCTGTCAGCCTTCAACTGGCTGGTAGCTTTCAGTCTCTGATGGGCTAGAAGTTTTCTAAGAGACAGGACATTTGCTCTGAAAATGCTAAATAACAACTATAATGACCAGTGACTTGAGTGCTAAGGCCTCAAGATCTTTCTCTAGCAGTAATTCCTCAAGTACATTCTAACTTACCATATCGAATAAACAACCATTAGCCATTTCCCATTTAATTTTGGTAAATTTCCATCCAACACACGTTATTTGAGAGAGTGTCAAATGCATCCCTGAAATCAAAACAGATAACATCCAGTACATTTTTACCTCACCACTATGTCTGTCAAGTACAAAAACAAATCATTCAAACATGACCTACCACTAAAACAGTGCAGATTTTCTCCGATTAACTCACCAACTTCAAGAGATTCCTTTATATTATTCTCATAATATTTTGTAACATTGTCCTGATGATGAATGTAAGGTACACATGTTTAACTTGATAGTTCAGACCTCACATGATTTTATTATAGATGAGCTATTTATAGAAGAAATCATAACCTTTCTTGCAAAAAAGCTTAATTTATTTTTGGCTCGAAACTCTTTACAGAAATCAGCTTTCTTTATGCTCCTGAGATATGATAACAATGCAAAGAGGTTTGTCAGATTGATGGCATAAACTTGCAACATTGATTACATTCCTTATTATCTCATGACAAATCAAGATTAAAAAAATCTGGTCTAATGTATTTAAAAATATTGACAAACAATTCTGATTAAGCATATTAACTTAAATAAAAAAGGTATTAAATATAAATATATAAATATCTTAGAACATAAAAACCAAAAAGACTTCGCAATAACAAATAAGACACCTTTCTGGATCTGTTCCCTCTCTAATAACTGGCTGAGTTTTTGTTTGTAGCTTGGCTCTAATAATTTGGAAAATCTTATGCATTAAGCTACTGCAAAAAATACTTACAGTTAGAAAGTAGGGCCAACAATTTAGTGGTGTACGTTCACAACATCATTGTAGCATTGTTTTTAAAATGACTAGAAGTTCTTCAAGCATGTCTATTTGTGTTCGCAGCTTGGATGTTCTCACACAACTGTTCAAGAGAACCAAACTCAATCCTTCAGGGCCACAAGTCTACTGAAAACTGAGGTACAAAAATGCAATTACTATTGAGCAGGAAAGTATAACTTATATTACAATATCATTCTGGGAAATCAATATGCTTCCAACAAATGGAATTAGTTGTACTAGTTGAGAATAAATATTTTTCAGAAAGTAGTCATAGGTGAATAATGCATTTTTTCACTTCAGCCATTGATGCTTACACTGATTTTTTTTTATAATTTTGGTGGAAATCAATTTAAAATAAATGTTTTTCAGTGAAAAGCACAGCCTGAGTGTATGGAAATAAATTCAACTTACCTTGAATATTTACGCCTTCTTTCCAATGTGCTAGAATATTTTAAATTGATTTTGAATGGACTTCAAAAGCAGGTTTCAGAAACTTGATGGAAAATTGGTCAATTTTGCCAACGATAGGAGGGACAATATAATCAGAGGAAATAAACTACAAAATAAATTTGAGATAATATGCAACCAGGCAAGAAAAATGACAGTTGTAATGTGATACAAATAAGTGTAAAGTACTACACATATCAAGAAAAACTGCACCATGAAATAGCAAAGATGAAATTGAATGTGACCTAGATGCCTTCGTAAACATTAAGGACAGTATGTGAGTTCGAAGTGCAATATGTGAGTGTGTCACTTGTGTTCACCTTGTTCCTCTTCACTTTTTATATGCCTCACCAGGTCCTCCCCCATCTTATAATTTCATGTTTTTCACAAAGTGGATTTCTCTGTGTTTGTGTTTGACAATAATGGACCGACAACACACAATGAGAAGCTTGGTTAAGACTCTACAAAGATACGGCCACTTCCAACTCTAAGGCATAAAGAGGAGCTCAAGATGACACATATTTTAGAATGCTTGAGCATGAAGTATCCCTTGAAATATAAGAACATTAGAAGTAGGAGCAGAGGTGGGATATTCACCCGCTCAATCTTGTCCCACTATTCAGTAAGATCAAGGCTGATTTGCCCTAGGCCTCATCTCCTGCTTTGTGCCAGCTTCGCATAGCCCTCAACTCGTCAATATTTGAAAAATCTATCTCCCTCCTCTTTAAATAATTTCAAGGATCTAAACTCCACTCTCTGTTGAGTAGAGGTTTCCAGACATTCACTACCCTCTGAGAGAAGAAATTCTTTTATATCTTTGTTAAAGTGAATGCCCACTTGTTCTATCCCTCATAGTTCAAGACTCCCCCCCTCATGGAAACATCTTTTCAACATCTATCCTGTCAAGCCACCTCAAAATCTTGAGTGTTTCATTTTTCTTCTCTTCTTCTAAATTCTACTGAATAAAAGCCTACCCTGTTCATCCATTCTAGAAAAGTCAACCCCTTGATTTCAGAAATCAGCCTATTGAAACACTTCTGAACTGCCTTCAATGCCAATATATCCTTTCTGCAATACATGAACCAAAACGTATATAGTACTTCAGGAATGGCCTCACCAATACCCTGCATAATTGTAACAAGACTTCCCTATTTTTAAACTCCAACCCCCCCTCCAATAAAGGCCAAAATTCCATTTGCCTTCTTAACTACTTTCTGCACCTGCATGCTAACGTCTAGGGTTTCATTGCAGAAGAACACTCAGATTCCTCAGTACTACATTTTTGGATCTTCTCTCTATTGAAATAATAGTTTGCTTTTTGATACTTCATACCAAAGTGGATGACTTCATACTTTCCTACATTAACCTATGTCCTCTTCGAAATTCTTTATGTCCTCATCACACAACATGCCTTCCCACCTATTGTTTATATTATCAACAAATTCAGATACATTACTCTCTGCCCCTCCTCCCAATCAATAATATTGATGATAAGTAATTGGGGCCTTAGGATTGATCCTTCTGGTACGCCACCAGTTGCACCTTTCCAAACTGTTAAAGACCCATTAATCCTGATCTCTGCCTTCTATGTGTTAACCAATCCTCAATAAATGACCCATAATATCATGAGCTGCTATCTTGTATAATGACCATTTATATGGCACCTTATTGAATTCCTTCTAGATATCTAAATACACTACATCTACTGATTCCTTTTATTACTCCTGCTTATTATATCCTCAAAGAACTCTAGCAAATTTGACAAACATGGTTTCTCTTTCACAAAACCATATTGGCTGTGTTTGATTGATAGTCTCGTCTGTTTTTTTCAAAAGTCTTCACCAAAGTAACAAACTTCATATGCCATTAATTTACAAACCCCAAATTCTGAAACTGATGTTTATGTATACCTGTATGTCTTTCATCACAAGTTCAGAAGACACCAGGGTTCAGTTTTAGTTTTAATTTTAGTTTCTCTCCTATGGTCGGGGTTTATCAAAAATAGTCATGTCACCAGAATGGTTTAGTTTGTGAAGCTGCCAAACAAGAAGAATTGAGTTACAACTCGACAGGTCATCAGAGCTGAAAATGTTTAGGCTCTCAGATTTATGAACTGTTTATGTTGACAAATTTTGAAAGGACCCATAAAATTGGTTAGACAGTTCATGGCAACAAATCTATTACGAATCAACAAAGGAGGAACCCCGAAGAATTGAGGCAGGGCTGTGATTTCTATGAATTTGAGTCTCTATAATTGGATGTGGGAAATGGATTGAAATACTGTTGTGCCTTGTTGTTTGAGAAACTTGGAACTGCCTTCTATACTTCAATAGGCTTTTTAAAAATATATTTTGTGCTATAGATTTCTGTTCAGTTGTTAAAGAAAATTTGCAGCCTCCTGTGAATATGTTTTAGTGACTAATCACCACATTAACTAATTGCATAAAAATAAACATGATCTATCCAGCCAGATTTCATTCTGGGATCTGACTTGTTGAGTAGTATCACCACATGGGATCATAACAAGCAGGGCCTTTGAGCCAGGATTTGAATTTATTGAATATAAGAGGGATCTGTGTCTCTTTTAAAGAAATTGGTATATGGAGGTACTGGACATAAAACAGGAGTGTTGTGGTGAAGTTTATTGCATTGATTGGAATTTCAAATGTCTTTAATATTGAGAATTTTTGTTTATTCATTAATGTGATGTGGTGTCACTGGCGGGGCCAGCATTTATTGCCTATTCTTAGTTGCCCTTCAGAAGGGGAGGTGATGGCCAAGTGGTATTATTGCTAGACTGCTAATCCAGAGACCCAGATAACGTTCTGGGGACCCAGGTTCAAATCCCTGCCACAGCAAATGGTGGAATTTGAATTCAGTAAATAACTGGAATTAACAATCTAATGATGACCATGAATCCATTGTCGATTTTCGGAAAAATCCATCTGGAAGGAAACTGCTATTCTTACCTGGTCTGGCCTACATGTGACTCCAGACCCACAGCAATGTGGTTGACTCTGAACTGCCTGCTGGGCAATTAGGGATGGGCAATAAATGCTGCCTGGTCAGCGATGCTCTCATCCCATGAATGAATAAAGAAAAAAAAAGACAGTGGTGGTGATCTGCCTTCTTGAACCACGGCAGTCCATTTGGTAGAGGTACTCCATAATGCTATTAGGGAGCAAGTTCCAGGATTTTCACCTAGTAACACTGAGAAACAGCAATATATTTCTAAGTCAGAATAGTGAGTGGTTTTGAGGGGAACTGACAGATTTGGGTATTCCCATGTATCTCTCGCCGTTGCCCTTCTAGATGGTAATAGTCGCATGTTTTGAAAGGCGCTGTCTAAGGAACTTTGGTCAGTTTCTGCAGTGCATTTTGTAGATGCTGCACACTGCTGCTACTGAGGTGGAGGGAGTGAATGTTTGTGAATGTGGTGCCAATCAAATGTGTTGCTTTGTCCTGGATGGTGCCAAGTTTTTTGAGTGTTGTTGGAACTGCTCTCATCCAGACAAGTGGAGAGGATTCCATTATATTCTTGATTTGTGCCTTGTAGATGGTGAACAGACTTCGGTGAGTTAGGACATGAGTTACTTACTGCAGTATTCAAAGCTTCTGACCTGTTCTAGTAGCCATTGTGTTTACGCGGCTGGCCCAGTTCCGTTTTTATTCAATGGTAAAGCGTAGGATGTTGATAGTCGGGGATTTAGCAATGGTAATGTTATTGAATGTAATAGTTAGATTCTCTAATTTCTTGGAGATGGTCAGATGGTCAGTCCCTGGAATTTGTATGGTGTAAGAGTTACTCGTCACTTGTCAGCCCAAAGTTGGATATTGTCCAGGTTTTGCTGTACTTGGGCATAAACTGCTTCAGTGTCTCAGGAGTTGCAAATGGTGCTGAACCTTATGCAGGAATCAGCAAACATGTCCACTCTGTCCTTATTAAGCAGGGAAGATCAGTCCTGAATCAGGTGAAAGTGTTTGGGTCTTGGACCCTACACTGAGGAACTCTTGCAAAGATGTCCTGGAGCTGAAATGACTGACCTCCAAAAGCCACAATCATCTTCTTTTGTGCTAGGTCTGACTCTAAACAGTTGAGCGTTAAAATTGACAATATATAATAAAAAATACATCTTTCAACAAAACCTCCCCAAGAAAAGAATAAAAAATGTATCCTTACAAGGCATTTTCATTTCCTGTCATGAAGATTTTCTTAACACAATTACTATGTTGCATTGATTGTAACAGCATATTTACAATGAGCATAGAATGAGTTTCATAACAAACATATTTTACATAAGTCCATTTGAATCACAACATTTGCTTTCCTTCACATGTGCTCTTGACAAAACTTCTGCTATAATATGGGCTTTTTGGGCATGTGAGTGACTTTTACATTGTCTGACTGTAGGATTAAACACCAACAAAACAACTATAGGATCTCGTCCAAATTTCTGCATGAACGTAAAGGATTTCGGGTCCATCAAAATAAATTTTTCTTCTGAGTTTCTGGGTACATAAATTGCAAACTATTGTAGAACCAACACATGACTAGGTGTCTCTTTCTGTAGAATATTTTTGTTGACAGGCATTCGGTTTCTTCGGAAAATAACTGACAGTCCATTCAATCCACATTTCATCCTCTTATAATAAAATGACACCCTCACTGAAGTTACTGGCATCAACAGCCA